GTTTGGAAGTGATTGAACTTGCATAAACAAAGATAGTGCTCAACTCTTTTTCTGCTACAATCAGCTTCTTCCTACACTCCCCCCATCATTGCTGCAACCCAAAAGATCCGTATTGCCTTCAGATGCTGTCACCTGCACAACAAAGCAATGATCATGTTGTCTCATTTTTGAGCTTCAAATGTCTTTAAAAATGTGCCTGTTCTTGAAAGCTGAAGAAGGAGCCATAGAAGGAAAAAGCTTATACTACTTGTATAAGCTGCAGAAGCTAAACTGAGAGCTGGAAGATGGCATATAAATGGTAGGATAATTGCCTGAATTTCCTTTTCTCTTAAAGCTTCTGAAAATTGAAAACTGGCTTTTCTATTCCAACACCATCTGAAGTGAGTAGGGTACATTTGCAAAGAAGCATGGTCTGTATGAAAAGGTGTTTGTGCTGATATGGCTGTTCCACTGGAAATACCTGAGGTGTGTCGCTCTGGTGCATAACTGGCACTGCATTTGCACTTTGCATTTGCTGAAGAGTTACGTGTGCCGAAAATGTCACGTGGAAAAGATGTGATTTCCTCAATCTCTTCAAACCATTCCCAGACACCGTTTTGTCTGGTTTAGATGGGACGTTAAGAAAAGCAGCTTCCCTGGGAGGCTAGTGCAGCCCTGGAACAGGCTTCCCAGGGAGATATGGAATCATCTCCCTGGGAGGTTTCCAAGCAGCCAGGAAAGCCATGGGCTGCGCTCATCTGTCCTTGCCAGTAGCTCCCCTGCGATGGGTAGGTTGGCCTGGATGATCTCCAGAGATGCCCTCCAACCAATGTTTCTATCAGTCTTTAAAAAATACCAACAGATTTCTTTTGGATAACCTCATGAGGATAAGCTTGTCTTGGAATATACATTTTATTAGGACACTGGCATGACGAAAACGTTAACTGAATGAAGTGTAAAATAGTGGGGCAAGTATATCTTCACAAGTGAAGATTTAATGCTTTTCCACTGGGACTGGCTGCACTGTAACCTACAAATGACTAACCTTCAGGAGCCCTGAAATCAGGTCCCACAGGTTGTTGTCAGGGGTTTTTTATGGGTTAGGGTAGTTTTGGGTGTTCTTTTGTATCAGAAGAACAGCTGAACAGCACTGCTTGTGTGGAGACAGCAGGTCTTGACAGGTAATG